GTATCATTATGGGGTTATACTCCCTCCATTTCATATAGATAGACTTGTTTCTATTTTCATGCAGATTAAGAAAATCTAGTTAATGTAATTGGAAATATAAATTTTTCTTAATATAACCGTACATTAAATAAATATTTTAAATACGAGTAGTTCATATTTGTTGATTACATGCACATTAAATAGGGTTACATTAAAAAACTAAGAAATCAACTATACTATCAACAAGGAAAGTTATCTACAATTTGGGATTGATGGAAAAGGAAAGCAAGTCTATTTTATGGGACGTAGAGAGTAATTTTTTTTATTATTTTTATATTTATTTCCCCTTATTTAAATTTGAGGAAATTTTCAATGTTTTTGAGCCCCTTTTTTTGTTGAAAACGAGTTTTGAAATAGTAAATTTTTGAAGAAAATGTGGTTAAAAAGTAAAAAAAATTTGGGTTTACGTGAAATATTTTATTGTGAGAATGTATGGTTGAAAATAAGTTTAAGAAAAAAATGAATTTTTTAGATAATGGGGATCAAACATGGGCTTTATATTTTTAGCCAACACATCTGTTTTTCTTGGACTGAAAAGGAAGATTGAGAAGTTTGATGTCAAGAAAATTAAAGTTAAAGTGCAAATGGGGCGAAAGATTTGGGACTGCACATTGCAATTTCCCCTAACGTAAAACATGTTTCCTAATAGTAGAACATGTTGTCATTGCACAAGGACTAATATAGGTTGATTGAGTTAAATAGAGATTTTCTTCTTGAAAGTAATTTTAAGTTTATAAAACATATCCATGTACTCATATCTAAAGTTTGTATTCTTTTTAGCCGTATTCCTATATCTTAGATTTTAGGAACAAAGCATCCGACTCCTAGATATATACCCATATTGAGGCGAAAGATTCGGGACTGCACATTGCAATTTCCCCTAACATAAAACATGTTTCCTAATAGTAGAACATGTTGTCATTGCACAAGGACTAATATAGGTTGATTGAGTTAAATAGAGATTTTCTTCTTGAAAGTAATTTTAAGTTTATAAAACATATCCATGTACTCATATCTAAAGTTTGTATTCTTTTTAGCCGTATTCCTATATCTTAGATTTTAGGAACAAAGCATCCGACTCCTAGATATATACCCATATCGGATACCCAATGGGCTACATCAAACTTGCATGCCAAGTAACCCATGTGTGGTATTTAAAACATCTTCCTAGTTTTCATTCTTTTTAGTCGTATCCTGATATCCTAGATTTTAGGAAAAAAGCCCGACTCCTAGATATGTACCATATAGGACATCCACACCCGAGTCAAAGCAACACAGTATCAAAGTTTAGTTGCAATCACAGTGCTGTTAGAGGTACCAATTAGGTGTTGAAGTGATGGGACTTATATTAATATTAAATCTACAGGAAGAGGTAAGCGAAACTGAAGAAAGGATCCACGTAGCCAGAATAAGCATGGGATTCTTGGAGCTGTGGGCTCTAAGAATACATATGATTTTGTTTTTATTAAGAATTCAGCCCCTGTTTGGACCCCCATTATTTTTTATTATAATGGGGGAATAGTGTTTTTTTTTTTTTTAAATGGATAGTTGTAAAAGAATGAAAAGTTTCCGATTTACGTGTAATATTATTTTATTGAAGATTGTGTGGTTGAAAATAGGAGAGAAATTTAATTTAATTTGATGATATTTAATGGGTGCCAAATGGGGGTTCAATGTATTTCACTATTATCCACATTAAGCTTGATTTTATTTTAAGACACTTTTTTTGTTTTATTCTTTTTGGCCCGTCTTATGGGAAGCGGCTTTCAGGTGAATTAAAGAGTACATTAAGCAAGCATAAGGGACCCATTTTTTGTCTGAAATGGAACAAGAACGGTGATTATATTCTTACTGGAAGCTGTGATAGAACAGCCATTGTATGGGATGTGAGAAATGAAGAACTTAAACAACTATTTGAATTCCATTCAGGTGCTCTGTTGTAAATTTTGTTACCAAATCCCTCCTGTGGTCTCCACCCAATGCTAAGAAGTTAGTGTTGACATGACAAATATTTCTGGTCCACAGGTCCAGTGCTTGACATTGATTGGAGAAACAAGGTTTCATTTGCGACAAGCTCAAGTGATCACATGATTCATGTTTGCAAAATTGGGGAGACTAATCCTATCAAAACTTTTTCTGGCCATCAGGTTTGGCTTAATATTTGGTCATGATTTTTGAAGTCATCAAAACGTCATGATGTCCATGCTGCAAGTGCTCCTGATATAGGCCTTAATGGATGAGCTTTAGTGCTCATGCGCCACGAGTTGTATGATAATAGTTTGTAAATAAGTTTGTGATCAATATGCTGTTTACTTTTTTAGGGTAGCTAACCATAGAGAGGAGAGCCCATCAAGGAATGGATGCTGTTAAGTTAATAAGTAGATGCAACTTCATTAGGCACAAATTCTGTTGATTCTGAGTTACTACTGAGTGCTTTTGGTGTAATTTTATATCCGTGGCTAAGAACAGTTAGTGTTCGGGGTTGCTTCAGGAGTAATGGAAATGACTGGTTTCAAAGTGTGCTATCTGTTATGATTATGGAAAACTAGATTAATCCTATTTGCAAAACTTCAATTAATTTCCTGAACTTTCTATTCTGCTTTCAGGGTGAAGTTAATTGTGTCAAATGGGATCCTGTGGGCACACTATTGGCCTCTTGCTCGGATGACATTACAGCAAAGGTTTATTTCTGACTTTCTTTTCCATGACACTGACAGATGTTATCTTCATCTTAAAGCACTGCGAAGTATTGCCAATTCTCACTTTAATTATATTCTCATCGATTTATGTTCTCTAGTTATTTGATTACATCTATACCATGTTGATGAAGTATGTAACTTTTTTAAGTTTCCCAATCTTAAAAGTTAGCTTCTTTTTTTTCTTCTTTTGGGGCAACAATGTTTCTTTTCTTGCTGGGGATGCAGATATGGAGTATGAAGCAGGATAAGTGTGTGTATGATTTGAGGGACCATGTGAAGGTACAACTAAAATTTTACCTTTTTATTCTTTTTTCTTTCTTCCTTTTTGTTTGTTTGCTTATTACTTTTTAACAGGAGATATATACAATTCGGTGGAGTCCCACTGGACCTGGCACAAACAACCCAAATCAAGCATTAATCTTGGCCAGGTTGCTCCTTGATCATTTGTGACAGTAATTCTCTGATTTTTTTCCTTGTCTTTAACAATGATACAGGCATAGCATCTGGCAGTTATTTGATTACAACTTTTCTCAATATAATGTTAAAGTGTGTGCGTGCAAAATGATCCGTTTACTTGGTAAAGCAGGGTTTGAACTCGTAGAAGATTCTTTGCAAATGTTACCCTTTCAATAACACACTGTATTGTTGTTTCTTTTTGAGTTCTCGATCTAAGTCATGTTGTTTGATGATTGATCAAATATATAAAAATATCGAACTTCAAGAAATACATTGAAAAGTAGATTTTGATCTTGTAGAAAATTCTTTGCAAACATTTCAGTAACGCTTGTATTGTTGTTTCTCTATGTATCAATATGTTATTTTTCAGTGCGTCATTTGACTCAACAGTGAAGCTGTGGGACATTGAGCAGGGAAAACTTCGCTGCAGCCTTAATGGACACAGGTGCAGCTCTCTCTTTGGTATTAATTTTCGTTGCTCAATTTACTGGAATGTGGAAATAGCACCATCAGAAATGTTGATTGGCATCGTGATTAAGTCCTTGTTTGGCCCCCATTAAAACTCATCAATTTAATTTAAATTTTTCTCTCTTCTATTTTCAACCACACAATCTTCAATAAAATAATATTACACGCAAATCGAAAACTTTTCATTTTTTTACAACCATCCATTTTTCAAAAAAACACTATTCCCCCAATTATAAATCCAAACAGTGGCGGGCCAAACGGGGGCTAAATTGAATATTATATTATATAGCTGTATTATGATAGCACTGGATAACTAATTTATGAAAACAAGTGACGAAGAAAAGAATAAGTGAGCAGAAGATTCACTTTCTATGTTCTTCTGAAAATGAAATTATCTCGTTTATTTATTAGGCTCTAGATCACATTGAGAATGATGTCCCTTTTGTTTTGTGTTTTTTTTATTTTTTTGGAAGTATTTGTGTATATAACAAGATTCCTCTATCGAAGACACTGTTTAATATGAACTAACTGCAAATAGAATTCAGAGAGAGTTAAATGAGTTCGGCCGATTGTTGAATAGCTAGTTCTGTAAGAAAAGAACTATTCAGTTTCAGTATTTGCTTCTGCACAACTCAACGTTTCTCCAATCATCTGCACTGCCAAAGGAATATTGGGAGATCTTAACCGGAACAGCCAGCATTTTGATTAAAAAATGAAAAAAAAAATCCGGATGGATTTTATTTTATTTTTTTTGCTGGAAATTTATTTTTAATTTTTTTGGTTTAAATATGATTTCTATAGTTTCAGTTCTTTTTAAACCTTCGTGTTATTGATCAGCAATATAATCCAATTTGCATTTTCAGGGAACCTGTTTATGCTCTCGCTTTTAGTCCAAATGGCGAGTACTTGGCCAGTGGGTCTCTTGATAGATCATTGCACATTTGGTCACTGAAAGAAGGCAAGATCATCAGAACATATACTGGTCATGGTAGCATTTTCGAAGTCTGCTGGAACAAGGAAGGTGATAAAATTGCTGCTTGTTATGCCAACAACACAGTTTGTGTTTTAGATTTTAGGATGTAGGGAATGCTTGGAGGGGGAAGAACTTTCAGTGCTTTGGTTTTAACAGTTCGTAGGTAGATGATTTCATTCATTTGGCAATCCCTTAGTTTGATTTTTTACCCGTAAGGCAACGATCCTGCCATTGAAAACTCGTTCAGCGTGTACATGTTTAATGCACAGATTAGCTGGATTAAATTGAGTACTTATTTGCACCTGGATGTCTGAAATGGAAGAGCAATAAGCAAGTTCTACCTTGACCAGATCGCATGGCATTAGTGAAGGAAGAATTCACTTACTTTATTTTGGGATATCGAATTCGATAAAGTTTGAACTGAATTCTTGCGAACGATTACAATGTAAAATTAAACTCACCATCTATAGATTATATTATGTATATAAAAGAACCAAAGAATTGGTTCATTTACCTAATTATCGTCATTCGACAAAATCAGCCCATTCTTTTTCCAGCTTGATCCTCCTCAAAACCTCATCAACAGCGATATCAAATGCATCCCTAAAGCTTCCCAATCCCTTATTAGGCTTTGCATAAATTATCCGGGGAATTGCTTCTATCAAATTTTCTCTCTTCCTCCTTATCTCCTGTTCACTGTACCTCATTAAAACTTCTTTTATCGATTTCCCATTCCTCACATCCTCGTGGTCTATGAACACCGAGTAACTTTTTGGGTCGGTCGGTAAGAACCACTCGTATTGATCATAAGCGGTCCTCTTCCAGAAAAAAACTGGAACCGAACCGGCCACCATGCAATCAAAAACTGACCGCCGAGTAAAACTATCCCCCCTCGGCTGCAGACAGAAATGTGACCCAAGCAATGCTTTATGAATCGCGGACGAATCGGTGGAACACTGAGTCACTCCACAGTCTACCACTCGGCACGAGTCCGACTCGTTGTAACAGTAACTTAGTAAAAGCCCTCTAAAATCGTTCTTTATCTCGCCGCGTTTTGCCCCGATGAAGGTGAAGAGACTGGACCGATTGTAGTAACGCACGAAGTTTTGCCATTCTTGGATATGTTTCTTTGTTTTGGGGTGGAATCCGGTGGGGTAGGGTACACTGACATCGTAGTAGTCCCCTGGAGCTTTCTCTATTGTGAAGCGGGTAACTTGTTGCATCTCCGGCATGTTCAGAAAGCTGGAACCCCAGAGCTTGCCGGGATCCGTCAACCGGCGAAAATCCCATGTAATTCTACCTACCGCCATGAAATGATCTGAGCCGTTGGATCTTTGCCAAGACTTTTGTTTCTTGACCCATTGAAGCATCATACGACAATGCCAGTCCCTTTTAGCAGTGTCATTACCCCACAAGAATTTCCCAACAGCAAGTCCAGCGTAAAATGGTATGTAGAACGCCGTAGCAGATTCTGGCTCCAGTGTTCTGCATTTATGATGCAACATACGGTGGTGAAATATTAGTTCTAGGGAGAATTGATTGGTACGGTACCAAGATGAAGAAAGAGTCCCCGGAAAGATTCCGGCGAATTCCGTCGCTGCGTTGCCGTATCCGTGGTTTGGAACTATGCCGCACTGCCAGTTCCATGGGTTAAGGTCAGTGCAATTGGCTAGCACCAAGTCTTTGTTCAACATGGAAGGAAGGTCGTACACGTAAATTTTCCCGATCCCGCATTCTTCGACCTCGGGCGGGGGTGTATCAGTCTCACTTCGAGTGTTGTTGCAGATGATGGTGATTGGAGGGGGTAAATGGTTGTCGGAGGCAGAGACGGTGGCGTATTCAGCCGGGAGAGACGGTGGCGGAGTGCGAACGATGAAAATGACGAGGGCTTGAACGAAGAGGAAAGTAATGAAGAGCCAGAAACGAGGGTGCGAAGAAAAGTAGGTCTGTATTGAATTCAAAGTGGTCTTCAAGAAATTGAGGGTTTTGGGTTTGTTTGATTTCTGGATTTCTGATGAGAAATTATGTGAATTTGCAGGAATCATAATTGAAAGTGGGGGGGAGTGGACTGAAGGAACTGAAAAGAATGTAGCATAACAATGGAGAAAAGAGATTCGAAGAGTACGAGAGTTACGAGTAGACAGTAGCACCGACAATGAGTACTAAAAAATTAAGATTAATCACTTTAGATAATTGTATCATCTTCTGTTTGCCTCACAGAAGTCAAAAAGAGGGAGAGATTAATGGCGCGACTCACTGAGTCAAAAGAAGTGCCTGTATTCTTGGTGAATGAGTGAAACACGGAGCAATGAGAGGACAATAATTGAAGAATTGATTTTATTAAAATTATTTAGTTCCGTTGAGATTAAAATGACTTTATGTGACAGTGAAATTAATTTGATAATTTAATTCTATTTTTTATTTAGCCTAAACCCTACTGTCATATGGATTGGAGTTACATTCTTCTCTCTACTCTTTTTAGTTACGCAATTTTCAATAAAATATTATTATATATAAATTTAAAATTTTTTCTTTTTATAACTGCATATTTTTTTTTATCAATTTACTATTTAAAAATACATTTTTAACATTTTAATGGGATTCAAATAAGCTCTATATGGCATTTTGAATAACTAGTCAAAGTTAAATGTACATTGCACGTTATTCTAAAATACTTTATAAGTGATGTAAAAAGAATATTTGATACTAATTTGTTGGAGAATTTGATGATTCTAGGACGAATTAAAGAAAAAAATTTAACATAGAAATTTAAGAGAAGAAAATTATATTCAAGTTATATTATCAAAATTCAATTTCTATTATTTAAATTTTTTGTAATGATAAAATACTATAAATGAGCCATCTTTTAATATTACCATTGATACATTAAAATTAATTGTTAATACATAACACCTATTAAAATTTTTAGATACATAAATATGAATAAATACATCCATAATAACTCTAAATTCATGCAATTCAAAATTCATCAAATAAAAATTTATTGAATTTAGATTAATGTGAATATTAATTAATTGAGAATTAATAGCACAAATTTCATAAATAACAATAATTTTATAGTATTTATTACATATCAAAAAACGAAAAGTAATGTATTATCAAATAATTGAATTGTAGGAATGTTAAAATTGTCCAAAAAATTATTCTTCATTAATGTGATATTTTAATATATATTTTAAATAAATATGATAAAATAAGAAGACTTCAAGTTGGCCAAATATTTAGAGATTGGAGAGGTTAAGCCCCCGTTGGTTTTCTATTATTTACTTATTAAAATAAAAAATATGATCTTTATTCATCATATTAAATTACCATATTTCAAAATATATTTTTTGTGTAAGTCATAGCGACTATATTTTTCATTCTTATTTTTATATGAATAATATTATTTGCAGTTGTTCGCTGCGACAGTCGCCCTATCTGGCATACACATGGCAGATGATTATTTGATGTATTAATGAATAAAAAAAATATCACATTAATACATCAAATAATCACCTGTCATGTATATGTCACGTAGGACGATTACCGCAATGAACGATTACGAATAGCATTACTCTTTTTATATTAATATGACTCAAATTGGAGCATAAGTGATTAAGGGGAGCACTACTTTCCACCAAGTGGATTCATTAACCGAGATTAGGGGTGATGGGCCATAACGAGATTCACGTGAGCAGATTAATTTGGAGGAGTTAACCGCTGACTTAGTGCTACGTGTCACCTTATTATTGGGTTACACTGATAACGGGTAACTCAATAAATGGGAAGACAGGCTCTTAAATGTGAGACCTCTGTAGGGTTGCCTACCTTCCAAACTAAAGGTGTCGGCTCTGATTTTGTATTTTTGTTTATTTTGTCACTTTACAAAAATAATTATAAGCAATTTATTTGCATTCGTGTAGATATTAGTACAATCATAAAACAAAAAAAATAATAATAATAATAAAAAAAATAGTGATTTTATTGAGCTGATGTTTGGCCTTCACATTTTTTAACTCTTTTTTTTTTTTTTTTCAAATTTATTTTCACTACACACTTACAAAATCCACCACACACGTCTTAACATTTCATATATAAGCATAGCCATATTTTGAATATGAACGTTTTGAATTTACATGTGCAGTGCTATTTCTACAACATCGCATGTTTACGGACAATTCAAAAATGTGTGTGATCCTAGTAGGAGCCTACCTACTTTTGATCCAGGTTTTCATAAGCATTTGTGATGCTGTCATAGCTCTTAGTGGAATGATAGTTTATGATGAAAAAAATTGTTCGAAACCAATAAACAGCGTATGAAATGAATAGAATTGGAGAAGCCAAAAGCTTGGCCTATGCGGTCCCATGGCCTATTACAGAAAATTGGGGCCGTGTTACTTTTGAACAATGCGACGATGTAGTGTTGTACCATGTTGTCGCATGGTAGCTAAAAGTGACTGTTGGAGGCTATTTTCCAATTGGTTTTTTGGTGACTTTTTAAGGGTTTTTTACAACTCTTCATCGTATGTTGGCACCAATTCGTGGGGGTATTGGTTGACATTTATAAATAGGTGATAAGGGATCAATACAATAACATTAAGAAATCATATGAGAAACATATGAAAACACTTACTTCATTCCACAAAATTATCAATCTTCCTTTCTTCCATATTCAAGCAATTCCGTCTTGTATTCTTCAAGTTCGGATGAAAAAACATTTATACTTTAGTATTTTTCTGCAACAAGGTTTGATCAATCCTACGAATCCTTTGCCGTAAAACCCTTGAAGCACTCGTATAATCCGGAGAGGGGGTAAATATCGTTTGAGGATAGCGAGATTATTTTTTATGCTTGAGCCTTCATATTGATTTTGATCTTCTTGTTCATTTTCATCTTCTTAAATTTTCATTTATTGGTTTTTTTTTCCAAACCCCGGTGTTGATAATTTCCCAACAACTTACAACACAATTTGAAAAAATCAAGTGATGAAGCCACCAATTTACTTCCAAAGCAAAATTTAGTTTCTTCAAAACTTAAGAACGATGTAGACAAGTAGAGTCCTTTGCAGAAGATAATTCTAGTGTGGTTTGAGCTTTGTGTGTGGGAAATTTTTGCTTCTATCTAATCTTGGGCCATGGGGTATATGTACAGAAAGTACTCACAAATTGGTGAGACTGCTAAATCAAAAGTATAAGAGTTTTCTTCACATGTTGTACAATGTTTAGCATCTTGATATTGATACAATTTTGATTAAGCCTCCGTTTGGTAACAACTTTTCACCCAAAAAAATCAAATTTTTAACCATTATTTTACTATTTCAATTGTCATTTTTTACTTATTCACTCATAGATAAGACCCACTTTCTCTCAACAGTCAAAAAATCAATTCTCAAAATTATTATCGAACTGGCTCAAGCAAGTGGGACATTGTTATTTTATATTGTCTTTTTTGCATGTATGTATTAGTATGGTATTTCGCTTGTCAAGTACTGCGCATCAGATATACATAAAAATCTTATATGCAAATATCTAATCATCTTTAGTCAAGCCAATAAAAACCTATGTGACCCACATTCTTTTAAAAAATATATTTTTAAACAGCGATTTGATATCATTTCGACCACACATTCTTCAATAAAATAATATTACACGCAAATTCGAAACTTTTTCTTTTTTTTAACTCCACATTTTTCTTCAATACACTATTAAAAAATGCAATCTTATGAAAATAATGTGGCTCGAACAAGAGCTAAATTTTTGACATATTAACCTTGCATTCTCCTTTGAGCTTAGGAAAACAAGAGATTACAATGTCAGTAACATCCGTAATTTCTCAAAATGCAATGTGCCTCATAGAGAGCCCTATCTATCCCAAGATAATTTCACAGGTGAATTGTGCTAATAGTAACA